CCACCCACAGTTTGTGTCTCTCCCCTCCTGTGGAGCGTGAAGGAAAGCAGACTTCTCTCTCTCTCTCTCACGCACACACGCCCAGCGCACAGTGACACACTCGTACACACAGGACGTACGCACGCACGGAGCTAATTTTATAACGTGTATAAATATACTGGAGTAAACATACGGACATTTGCTGTGGGCGGGGGGGGCGGAGCGGTGGTGCAATGGTGAGCGGACTGCGCTTCGAACGCGATGAGCCAGCTAGCATCAGTCAGTGGCGAGTGACATCTGAACCAAAACTGCCCCCCCCCCCTCCCCCATAAGGAATCTGCACTGACCAGAGTGGTGAAGTATAGTTAAACAAATCCACCATAAACAACATGTTGGACGGACCTTCATCCAGCAGTGGATTGATCAATGGTTGTAAATGATTAATGATGATTTACAGCAGTGGATGATGAGTGGTGCTGCTGTTAGGGCACTTGGCAAACAAGCGGAAGTTCACAAGTTCAAATCATGGTTGGGGGCCAACTTGGCCACATCATCTCTCTGAGGTCGATAAAGTGAGTATCGCTGATTGTATTATGTTATGTTGAACTTGAAAGGAAGGCTTAACAGAATGGCTTGGCGACTTATGAGATTGGTGCCAGAAAGATTTGACAATACTTGAGTATATTGGCAAGACAGAGGAAAGTGGAAACAAATGACATGTGCATCTCAGGGCTACCTGCCCATGGAGCGTGATGGTGAACTTCTTTCGCACCTTACGTAGCCAACCGTCCTTTAGAGAGTGACCCTGCCATGTACTCTATCTACCACTGACTCAGGGATGGCGGCAGATACAATTACTGTACTGCCTTACATTTATATGGGCATGTAAAAAATACGAATATCTTGTTTAACCCCAGCTGCCGCTGAGGCTCTCCATCCATGCCTGAGTCACATCCTGACTCCACTACTGCGACTCCGTACGGCCTCCCCCATCCCTCATCGACTTTGCCAGTCTCCTGACCCGCATCCGCAAACGAAACATCGACCCCAATACTCCGATTCCTCTGCCTGCTCCCAAACCAATCCCGGATCTATTCCCGAGATGTTAACTACCTCGCCTGGTATGGAGGAGGTCGTGGGTTCGTTCCCGGCCCTGACGCCTGCTGCTGTATATTTGGAGTTTGCGTGTCTCTTTCTCCCTGTAGAGATGTTGACTATCTCGCCTGGTCTACAGGAGGTCGTGGGTTCGTTCCCGGCCCTGACGCCTGCTGTATATTTGTAGTTTGCGTGTCTCTCTCTTTCTCATCATCATCATCACGGTGGCTAGGAGATGTTAACTACCTCGCCTGGTATGGAGGAGGTCGTGGGTTCGTTCCCGGCCCTGACGCCTGCTGCTGTATATTTGGAGTTTGCGTGTCTCTTTCTCCCTGTAGAGATGTTGACTATCTCGCCTGGTCTACAGGAGGTCGTGGGTTCGTTCCCAGCCCTGACGCCTGCTGTATATTTGTAGTTTGCGTGTCTCTCTCTTTCTCATCATCATCATCATCATCACGGTGGCTAGGAGATGTTAACTACCTCGCCTGGTATGGAGGAGGTCGTGGGTTCGTTCCCGGCCCTGACGCCTGCTGCTGTATATTTGGAGTTTGCGTGTCTCTCTCTCCCTGTAGAGATGTTGTGTGATAATACTTTACTACACTGGTGGGTGCGTGTTGGTGAGCTGTTGGGGATGACTCAGGTGGCGAGATGTTAACTCTCTCGCCTGGTCTACAGGAGGTCGTAGGTTCGTTCCCGGCCCTGACGCCTGCTGCTGTATATTTGGAGTTTGCGAGTTTTCCCCGTGGCCGCGTGGATTTTTCTCCAGGTCCTCCCATTTTCCCTCCACATTTAGAATGGACACGCGTTTAGAATATTTGGCTGGTATAATTTTCCACATGATGACGAGCCACTTCGTTCAGCTATTATTTGTGGCCAGGTCGCTTCTAAAAAAATGCTATATCGCTCAGTGGGCCTTACCTAGTAAAATAAAAATGTGTTTAAATAGTTAAACTTACGAGTGGTCCCGATCAGCCCCAAGATCTAAATCACCGAACCCTTGCAGATGCCAATGCCTCAACTCCCCCTATTTATTCGGAACAATGGCAAACAAGTCTGATTTTTAACCGAGCGTACGCCATTTCTAACGTGTCCTATAAATCGTTGTTTCTCAGATCCCTGGTGTCTTTTGCATTTTAGATATAGTTAACATTATAATGAATACTCAATGTACGGTATATGCAATTGTACGTTTCCCGAAATTAGTGACTTTGTGGCCATGCAAGCCACTGCAGCTATGCACTTTTAAATCCTGATTGGAAGCTCATTTCTTTCGAACTGCTTTTTGTGATTAGTTTGTGGTCCTTCCGCTGTACCTCCGATTAGCACGGTTGGCTACGTATGGTGCAAAAAAAGTTAAACATACGTACATACAACAAAAACTATGAACCCTTTGTAAACCAATGTAGTGAGCGAACTACAGCGCTCTGATGACAAGGATTTACTATTTTGTTCTTTTGGTAAAGTCACGTAAAAATAAAATAAATCATAGAATACACGTTTCGCTTGCAACACAAGCAACCGTCATCAGGTGTGAAAGAATGGAGAGAGACACACATACAGAGAGAGATAAACACAGACACGGAGAGACACAGAGAGAGAGACACACAGAGACAAACACACAGAGAGAGCAACAAACACAGACACAGAGAGAGACACACAGAGAGACAAACACAGAGAGACACACCAGAGGGAGAGACACACACGCAGAGAGAGAGACACACAGCGACACAAAGAGAAACAAGGCCTCTGTGGCGAGGCATTATATATAGAGGGGGGGGGGGGGCAGAGAAATAAGGAAGTCAATGAGAGCGGCAGGGGGAGTGAACGGAGTAAACGGCAGGGGGAGAGAAATTGGAAATTTGAGAAAACAAACCTATTAAACTTAGAAATGTAATGCGATGTAACACAGAGAGTCGGATAACACAACAGTTAACACATTACCTGGTTGATTACGTTCTTCCAAAGATTGCTACATTTGAAGTTAAGTCTGAGTAGTGTGGAAATCTTCCCCGTAGAGGTGGTTCAAACTTGATTTGAAGCCTTCTTAAATGCAGGAATTATTCTTTGGTTCTTTCGGTAAAGTCACGGAGCCGTGCTATCTGTTGATGTCCCTCCTAAGCGACCTTGGGATTTGTTTAACCCAGGGGTCGGCAACCTGCGGCTCAGGAGCTGTGAAGGGCTACTTCTTGACTTTATTTACAGAGGGAAAGAAGTATTTGATCCCCTGCTGATTTTGTACGTTTGGCCACTGACAGAGAAATGATAAGTCTATAATTTTAATGGTACGTTTATTTGGACAGTGAGAGACAGAATAAAAACAACAAAATCCAGAAAAACGCATGTCAAAAATGTCATAAATTGATTTGCATTTTAATGAGGGAAATAAGTATTTGACGCCCTCTCAATCAGAAAGATTTCTGGCTCCCAGGTGTCATTTATACTGGTAACGAGCTGAGATTAGGAGCACACTCTTAAAGGGAGTGCTTCTAATCTCAGCTTGTTACCTGTATAAAAGACACCTGTCCACAGAGGCAATCAATCAATCAGATTGCAAACTCTCCACCATGGCCAAGACCAAAGAACTCTCCAAGGATGTCAGGGACAAGATTGTAGACCTACACAAGGCTGGAATGGGCTACAAGACCATTGCCAAGGAGCTTGGTGAGAAGGTGACAACAGTTGGTGTGATTATTCGCAAATGGAAGAAACACAAAAGAACTGTCAATCTCCCTCGGCCTGGGGCTCCATGCAAGATCTCACCTCGTGGAGTTGCAATGATCATGAGACGGTGAGGAATCAGCCAAGAACTACACGGGAGGATCTTGTCAATGATCTCAAGGCAGCTGGGACCATAGTCACCAAGAAAACAATTGGTAACACACTATGCCATGAAGGACTGAAATCCTGCAGCGCCCGCAAGGTTCCCCTGCTCAAGAAAGCACATATACATGCCCGTCTGAAGTTTGCCAATGAACATCTGAATGATTCAGAGGACAACTGGGTGAAAGTGTTGTGGTCAGATGAGACCAAAATTGAGCTCTTTGGCATCAACTCAACTCGCCGTGTTTGGAGGAGGAATGCTGCCTATGACCCCAAAAACACCATCCCCACCGTCAAATATGGAGGTGGAAACGTTATGCTTTGGGGGTGTTTGTCTGCTAAGGGGACAGGACAACTTCACCGCATCAAAAGGACGATGTACCGTCAAATCTTGGGTGAGAACCACCTTCCCTCAGCCAGGGCATTGAAAATGGGTCGTGGATGGGTATTCCAGCATTAAAAAGGGCCCAAAACACACGGCCAAGGCAACAAAGGAGTGGCTCAAGAAAGAAGCACATTAAGGTCCTGGAGTGGCCTAGCCAATCTCCAGACCTCAATCCCATAGAAAATCTGTGGAGGGAGCTGAAGGTTCAAGTTGCCAAACGTCAGCCTCAAAACCTTAATGACTTGGAGAAGATCTGAAAAGAGGAGTGGGACAAAATCCCTCCTGAGATGTGTGCAAACCTGGTGGCCAACTACAAGAAACGTCTGACCTCTGTGATTGCCAACAAGGGTTTTGCCACCAAGTACTAAGTCATGTTTTGCAGAGGGGTCAAATACTTATTTCCCTCATTAAAATGCAAATCAATTTATAACATTTTTGACATGCGTTTTTCCGGATTTTTTTGTTGTTATTCTGTCTCTCACTGTTCAAATAAACCTACCATTAAAATTATAGACTGATAATTTCTTTGTCAGTGGGCAAACGTACAAAATCAGGCGGGGATCAAATACTTTTTTCCCTCACTGTATTAAGAACCGTTTCGTATTCACGTGCATTGCGGCTGTTTCAATATTGTTAACGAATTCGAAAACAAAAAACGGCTCTTCTTTTTATTTTGGTGGCCGACCCTTGGTTTAATCACACACGCATTTTTTTTCCACAGAAGACTTCCCTCTGTTCCTGTGCCCCTCTCCACCTGAAGACAGAAAGGACTTTACCCTGGGCTTAACGAACGCCGGCCACGCCAGACAGCCCACACACCTGGGCGACCAGTCTCTGTGCACACCTGGCCATGCCTCGTACGACGTCAAGCCCTGCCTCATCTGAGACTAAGACCCGTGGCCATCTGGAAAGGCCCCGAGTGGCCCGTGGAAGTTGTTCGGAAGTTGAGACCTCAACGTTTTGATGGCCTGGGAGCGTGATTTACATCCTAAAGTAGTGATGATGAACTCTGGATGCTGAGGAATTAGCCAAGAGTTAGATGAATTGGGAACGTGTCGACAGTGCCCAGCTGAGCTTTAGGAATCAGTCGTGCTATCTGTTGATGTGCCTCCTGGGCAGCCTTACATGGCACCGATGTTGTTGCCGATTTTTTACTCAACAAGAACACTACGGTATGTGTAAAAAAACATATTTTTAAAAATGTTTTATCATGTCAATGTAAAATGTTTTATTCAAACAGCCTATTGGAATGGTGGACTGAAAGTTTTCCAACAGCATTTATTTCAGCAGCCAAACGCTGTAATGCAATGGGTTCCACCTCCCTGGGTCTCATCAGCAGAATATGGCCCTGCTAAACATATGCAGCCGAATTTCCTGATGTAATAGGCAAGAGTCCTCCACGAACACTGGGTGGCCTATTCTTAGTTTTTTCGGTAAAGTCACGTTGTTGTTTCCCTTCAACGTGACTTTACCGAAAAAACTAAGAATATGAATTACTGCACTCACGAAAGCTTTAAATCAAAATTTACTGGGTGGCCTGTTCACATTTACGCATGCAGTAATAATCATAACGATGCCCTTGACGTATCAAGGCGATTTTAATGAGGGTGCTTGCCATATGTAGCACTGCTATTGTTCGCTGTCGTTGCTTAGCATGATGATGTTGGTGTGTTTACAATTAATTTAACAGATTGTTGCTTGTGCTGCCATTTGATAAAAAAAAACTGTTACAAAAGCATCGTAACACGTGCTGCCCTTGTAGCACACGAGCAACCTGCGCACGTGATGGTCTGTCCGTCCCTCCAGGCAGCCAGCCAGCGAGCAAAACTTGTTCTAATATATTAGCGCGTACATTTTTTGAAGCAGTGGTGTCCCCCGGCACAATTGAGCCTTTGGTAATGTTCATCAGTTTTGGCAGTCCAGTCTATTGTGTAAATTCCACATTCCTATGGCTGGAGGATCAGTCCATCTGTTGGACAACCAATGCTTATTTTCTGCCGACGTCCAAAGTGGTGCTTTTGTTCCTGGCCCCAGATTGATGATGGTGATGATTGTGAAATTGCAGTTGACCCCGGATGGCGTTGAACTCATGTTGCTGCGGTATATTTCAGTAGTAATTAAACATCTATTAAATAACAATTATAGACTCTCTAAGAGCATAAAACAATTAACAAAATCTAATTTGTTGAATTGATTATAATCAAACGTGGCAATTATCTGTCATTAGTTCAAATGAGGTAACTTTTGACACATTTCCACCAGAATTCGGCGAATCATGTGTTTCACGAGTTACATTGCAAGCTGATTTTGAGATGTATATATATTTAAATCTTAAATCCTAATGTTTAGTTTTACAAAGATTCCAAAGCCCTCGTTTCATTCCTAAAAGCCTTGCCTGGTTTGAGTGTCCTACCTGGGCCCGGTCATCCAGGCAAGAGAGGAGGACGGGGAACAATGAAGGCCTAATTAGTAAGATAACATTGATGTTAATAAGTAATTATTTACTCTTACAACTTTAATTGTAAAGGGTTTTTGACTATGCAACAGATTAACAAAATGTTAGTACTATTTACCTACTTATGTGCTTTATATTCTGAATGTTTTTGTTGTAAATATTTGCCAGTGTTTTCTCACCGTATCATAAGCTCTCTATATTTGTAATATTTGCTTTTGAATAAAACCACCAATTTAATATAAAATAGTGGGCACACGTTTGGTTTTGAAATGTAATTAAACGTTACCTTCGTTATTTATTACGTTTATAATGTAAAGTTATAGCGGTGTTCGCTGCATACAGATGAAAAGTTATAGCTTTAAGAGACAAGTCGGGCTATTTTTAAACGTTTAATGAACAATGTGTACGCGAGATTGGTTAATTTCCGGAAATGTATCCATTCTCACAAAATTCAACTTATCATTGTCTTATACATTTTAAATAGTTAGGTTTAAATTTTGATTTAAAGCTTTCGTGACTGCAGGGATTCATATTCTTGGTTCTTTCGGTAAAGTCACGTAGAAGGGAAACAATAAAATAATAAAAATATAAAACAATAAAATTCTCACGACGTTTCGACTGCAACACGAGCAATCATCATCAGGTGTGAAAACCACAGCAAGAAAATTTGCTGTGGTTTTCACACCTGATGATGATTGTGTGATTGCTTGTGTTGCAGTCGAAACGTTGTGAGAATTGTATTTTTTATATTTGTATTATTTTATTGTTTCCCTTCTACGTGACTTTACCGAAAGAACCAAGAATAGTTAGGTTTAGTTTGAGCAGAATAACTCGCAGTCGTAAAATTAAATTCCCGTACCTCCGTTTACCACGGTTGGTTACGTAGGGGGCGTCCATAAATGACGTCACGCACCTAGGGGTGGGGGTCAGACATTTGTGACGATGTTTAACGACGGGGGGGGGGGTGAGAAATGTGACGTCACATCAAAATGCACAACTTTAAATAAATATAGACAACACGTTCTACTTAATTAAATAGACTTTTTAATATGTTTTTTCTCCTACAGCATCAGAGTGCAGCGCCACATTAAATACGCACTACAATGACGGGGGGGGGGGGGGGGGGCAGAGCTTTGTGACGTCATATTTGAGGGGGGGTCTGACTTTTTGTGACGCCGTGTGACGAGGGGGAGGGGGTCAAAAATCGTCCAAAATCGCGTGACGTCATTTATGGACGGCCCCGTACGGTGCGAAAGAAGTTCAAATCCAAACCATGATCCAGGCAGCGGCAAGTTTCCCCAAACTCCTGTCCTCGCCACCACCACCACCACCACGCGCTCACCAAGTTTACCCATCCCCATTCAAATACAAATCGAATGGTTTTACACTGCACGCGCCGGATGATTGTTAAACACGTCCCTTGACAATGAGCACGAGCCGTCATCCTCGCAGCATCGGCTTTTGGCTGACAGCCATCGAACAAAGACGGCCAACTGCATCGTGCGCCGTCTGGAACGCTCTCCCTTCCGATAGTTGGAAGATACTGGAGCTATCCACTTTTAAATTAATCGAGATTGAAAACTAATTTCTTTAGAACTGTTTTTTTATTATTATTTCGTTTGTTGTCCTTCCCCCGCGCACTCCGATTAACAGGGTTGGCTTACGTCAAGGCCATAGCTAATGGAGTCAACATTGAGGGGGACCAAATCTTCCAGGGGGTCTGCCCCCCCCCCCCCCAGAAAAAAATCTAAATTTGAAAACGAATTTCCTGCCTAAAATTAAAAAAATATTTCACCAACACATAGGATGGACTTTTTATTTTATTTTAACAATAATGTCTAATAGTGTTATTGTATTACATTGCTCTGTTTTTTTACCTTTTCTTGTTTCATCGTAGAGATTAGGGATTCATAAAGTACAACCATAACCACAATCATATAAACAGAAATCTAGTTTATAGCAATATATTGGGGGGGGGGGGGCATGTTGAGCATATTTGAATGTTGGGGGGATGTCCCCCCCCCCATACACCAATAAAATATATATTATAATTACGGCCTTGGCTTACGTACAGTGCGAATTAAGGTTAACAAAGACAAAGATCCCCGTATAGCCTACGTCACGTGGAGTACGTACATACACACACACGCGGAACACGTGTACACACACACAGAACACGTGTACACACAACCACACGGAACACGTATACACACAGAACACGTGTACACACACAAAACATGTGAGACGTATATACACACAGAACACGTGTACACAAACACACGGAACACGTATATACACACGGAACACGTATACACACAGAACACGTATACACACAAACACACGGAACACGTGTACACACACACGGAACACGTTTACACAAAACGCGCGGAACACGTGTACACACACAGAACACGTGTACACACAAACACACAGAACACGTGTACACACACACGGGAGACGTGTACACACACTCAGAACACGTGTACATACACACACGGGAGACATGTACACACACACAGAACACGTGTACACACACACACGGGAGACGTGTACACACACACGGAATACGTGTACACACGGGAGACGTGTACACACACACGGAACACGTGTTGTCACACACGGGAGACATGTACACACACAGAACACGTGTACACACACTCACGGGAGATGTGTACACACACACGGAATACGTGTACACACACGGGAGACGTGTACACACACACGGAACACGTGATGGCACACACGGGAGACGTATATACACACACCCAAACCTCATCTTAATTTTAATCGGCTCTGTTAACGCAGACAGCGTTGGTTGCTTAAAGCGTCACGTGGGACGTGTTTAACAATCATCCGGCGCGTGCTGCGTAGAACGTGTTAATTTGTATTTGAATGAGAGCGAATTGGTAAACGTGGAAAAGCGTAGCGTATACTGAAGTGACTTCTATGTGCAAAATATGCAAATAAATTCTGCCCTATGCTGGGGACCGCTTTTGAGGCTAAGGGACATCTATTCAATTCATTTGCAAACAATGATCGTTTCGTCTTTGTTCAACTCTCCAGGAGACTCACCTGTGCAGGTGAGACGACTGTGCCTTGTCCATCCAGGATGATGTCCCACATTTCCACACAATCACTTCCAGCGCGTGCAGCGAAACGTCGGACGTGTCGAATAATAAAAACAACAACACCCTGGAAACACGTCGACGAGTTTACGGTTAAAGAAGGGCTGCAAAGACATGCTGTAATGTTTGACATTCATGATGCCTGCAGATAAAGAGATTCGTCACCCAACACAGATTTTATCCTCCGCTCTATTTTTTATTTAAAGCTTTCGTGACTGCAGTAATTCATATTCTTAGCTCTTTCGGTAAAGTCACGTTGAGGGGAAACAATAACATAATAATACAATATATAAAACAATAAAAATTCTCACGACGTTTCGACCATAACGCAAACGGTCATCATCAGGTGTGAAAAGCAATGTCTTTGTTCAACTCCACAAATGTTTCTTGCCGTTGCTTTTCACACCTGATGATGACCGTTTGCGTTATGGTCGAAACGTCGTGAGAATTTTTATTACTCTTTGGTTCTACTCGGTAAAGTCACGTAGGTAAAAAATAAAACAACAAAAATCACGACGTTTCGGCCACAACACAAGCGGCCTTCATCAGGTGAAGGGACCAGGCTGTCTCGAGGACAGCGCTGGAGTGAAAAGCTTTAAATCTAGAATATAATTTTTATTGTTTTATATATTTTATTATTTTATTGTTTCCCTTCAACGTGACTCCGCTCTATTGTTTTAGTTTGTGTGGTTAGCATCGCACGGCAGGGTGGCGCAGTTGCAGTACTTGTGTTCACTCCCCTGCCTCGGGTGTGTGGAGTTTGTATTTGTCCCACTGTTCTGCACGGTTCTCCTCCGGGGTTTCCCGGTCGAACCCACGACCGCCTGCACACCAGCGAGGTGGTTAAACGTCTCGCTGGTGTGACGATTTTGGACCTGAGAAACGCCGTAACCATTCCTCGGGTGAGTCACTGCGTGGCGCTCACAGACAGCTGAGTCACACCTGTGCAGGTGGCACCACCGTGTACGCAGCGCGTAAGACGCGTGCATATATCCGTCTCTACGCACAAACAAAAATCGTATTTCTTACACAAGCCATCTGCCCAGCGGCTTTCTGGGAGTTAGTGCACGAGACGGCTCGTATCCTCGCAGTGGCTGCAAGTGAATAGAAACTCTTAAATCGCTGCTATTGTGCGCCTCTCAATCTGTCGCGCGCCTTAAAGTCAAGTGCTTTCCATCGCACGCCTGCGGCTCAAGTGGAATGCGCCTTTTGAGTTTTCACCATCACTCATCTCTCTCAATTGTAGTTCACGTTGGGTGGACCGCTGCCCACACAGAGAGAGATAGAGAGAGGGAGGCTGCTGCCCACATGGAGAGAGAGAGAGAGGAGATTTTCACAAGTACTCAACGCTTACACTTGTTTGTGTGGCATTTGACAGCATCCCGAACCGTTTGAAACATACACAAATACACACGTGTCATGCATAGGTGTTGCGGCTGCTGTGTATCTCTCCCATGTGTTTTCCCGTTGTGCCGCGTGTTGTTCGGCGTGATGTCCGACGTTTCGCTCCACGTTCACGTGGAGGGGAGCACACATCTGCCCTTGTTGCGTCGAACCTGCACCCGTTTCTAACAGATATGATCCCAGCCGTTAAACATCGACCCGTTCACCAGCAATGGTTTATTGAAATAAGCATGACCGTGCTGATGAGACATTGAACGTCGAGCCCACTCCAGAGTGTCCTTGTATTGCACCAACTCTTGTTGACATGATGCACCCTGGTGGCTCTTTCAGGACCGCTGCGCCGTGTCGCCGTGGTTTCTTGACGACCACCGTCTCGTGTTCGTCACTTGCATTGCGGTTTTTGAAAATACGGAGGGGTTCTTCTTAACCTGGGGTGCACTTTCAGGGGGTGCGAGGAATGACAGATTTGTTTTTTTAGAAGGTAAATAATCGAAACGCAAATTAAGCACGGGCACGTGAGTACAACTACTCTTTTTTATTTAAAGCTTTCGTGACTGCAGGGATTCGTATTCTTGGTTCTTTCGGTAAAGTCACGTAGAAGGGAAACAATAAAATAATAATAAATATATCAAACAATAAAATTCTCACGACGTTTCGACTGCAACACAAGCAATCAGAATCAGGTGTGAAAACCACAGCAGTCGAAACGTCGTGAGAATTTTATTGTTTTATATATTTATTATTATTATTTTTATTATCTTATTGTTTCCCTTCTACGTGACTTTACCGAAAGAACCAAGAATATACAACTACTCTGTTTCATCAAACCTATGTACTTGTTAACATTATACATTTACAATTATTGAGAACCATAGGGCTGCAAGGCTGCAGTAAATGTTAAGAACCACTGCTCTACAGAAGCTAGTCCGGCCCATGGGAAGTGTACAACACACTTAAAGAAGCTCCCAGCACGTGGAGCGAAACGTCGGACAGCATTCCCATCATAAAGCGGGACCTCCGACAGCACATCGC